GATGTAACAAAGAAATTAATTGTAAAACTGATTGAAAAGGAGTAACCATGGAGTTTCTTGCTCGTTCTTCTGCTACTTTGGAACGAGCAAATAGCTTCACTAGAGGACAGACGGACAGACGAGACGCTTAAAGTTAAAGCTCTTGAAATACTTTTTCCTTTTTTTGCTTGACGTTCAAAAGTGCCTACTGTGGTCTAATTGAAATAAATGATTTTGACTTTTGACTTTTTGAAAAATATGTACGAGTTTACCAATCACGGGACCACAGGGTCCCGGTCATTTGGAAGGCGTACGAGGGACCGGAGCCATTGCACAAGACCCTTTAGATAACTTTAATCTAAATGAAATGGGACACAAACCGGCGACTATTACACCCAAGGACGGTCCTCGTTTAGTGTAGGGCTATTGCGGATAATGGAAAGAAAATGGGTGTGGGTTATTATAGACTGGTATAACGGGAGCTATGGAAGGACTATGGCACCTGCCGAAACAATGTAATTTAAACACGTAGGTGGAGACTCCAACTCACCAACCGGGCCCCCGGTTGTGTGTGTATTAACTGTGTGGCGGTGTAGTTCGCCCAGTATGTTTAAAAAAAAAATGATTGCAAAAAATGTGATGAAAACGCCCACATTAAATGTGGTTTCATCACATTTACTTGGAGTTTATTCCATTCCATGACTATCCTATCCGGTAGCAAGTGTGTCAAGGGATTCAATTTTGAGGATATTTTTCGTGGTTTCAATGAGTATTCTCTGAAATTTCTATTTTCATTAAGAACATACATATTCTTAATTGTGTTTTCTTTGTACTTTCCTTATTGGTAGTCGCAGATCGTGAAGCAGTAAAATAGCAAGCAATAAATAATTAAAACATAGTATAAAACAAAGTCGCTTCCTCTGTCCCTATATTGCTATGTATGCTTAAACCTTTAAAACTACGCAATGGACTTTGATGCGGTGTTTTGTATAGATTAAAATAGTGGAGAAATTTAGTATTAGCATTGCACCCGTGCAAAACTGGACGGGTTGCTAGTGATATAGTAGTATATAGTATAATGTTGACCTTCTTGATTAAGTTAAATATTTAACGGCTAAAATTGTCGTGTCTATTTATTTTACCATAACCACAGTAATAAATCACTGTGCATTACGGTGTCACAATATTGTAATTATAATAATTTTTACTTTAAATTAATTTTAGGATAAACGCAGATCACCAAGGAAGTATAAATACCGTAGCACACCGTGCCCTAACGTGAAGCACGGAGAAGAGTGGGGCGAGCCCAGTAACTGCGAGGCTGGCGACGCTTGCGGGTACTGCCACACGCGGACCGAGCAACAGTTCCACCCCGAGATATACAAGTCCACCAAGTGCAACGACGTGCAGCAGGCTGGCTACTGTCCGCGCGGCCTCTTCTGTGCCTTCGCGCATGTCGAGCGTGAGTACTCCCTTTCACCATCCCAGGACCTAGCCCATCAGCTAACTACCCAAGCTTATACCGTTCCTGTCTTTGCAGCTGAGGAGTTGGGGGCTCGCGAACTAGCTGGTGCGTTGGACTGCGGTACCAGTTTAGCCGAGTTATTGTCTTCAGCGTTACCTCCCGATAAGAAGGCGGAGCGCGCCGCCTCTCCAACGCCTGCGCTGCCTTTGGCGCTGGCGCCTGTCAGTAATGGCAGCGGTGACGGATCCGAGTGCGCGTCCACGTCGTCGGGCGGCTCGGCTGGCAGAGCGCTGCGCCACGAAGACCACAAACCCGCTCCACCGCCAGCCTGGCCCGCGCGCGCTCCCTTCGACGCCGGCGTCTTGCACGATGTCGTGGGCAACGCACTCGACGACTTGCATCTAGACGAGCCGTTGAATCTGGTGGCTGCACTCGACCGTGACTTGGCGGACGGCGAAGGCTTACTGGCGAGTTCTGCACCAGTCAACATCCCACAGGCGAGGCCCACACTGCGCGGCTTCAGCCCACCGCCCGCAGGCTCGCCCTTGCCGTCGTTCCTCAGATATTCCAATGAAACCGAGCGTCTATTCAATTCGCACGCTATGAAGGCCGGCAGCTTCGGCGGCGGCGGTGGCGGTGCATTCGAGTATGCGGCCGCGTCGCCCTCGGCTCCGGGCGAGCTGTCGCGCCTGCGCGAAGAAGTGGTGGCCTCGCGTCAGGCCGTGGCCCGCTGGGACGAGCGACTGGCGCAGGCTCGCTCGGCCTGCGAGGCGTGGCAGCGCGAGGCGGACGAGGCGGCGCGCGCGGCCGCGCTGGCGGAGCGGCAGCGGGACGACGCGCGCGCCGCCGCGCTGGCGCTGCGCCGCGAGCTGGACGCGGCGCGCGCGGCGCTGGCCCCGCGCCGCGAGCTGCGCGGCCTGCCGCTGACGGCGCTGAAGGCGCTGCAGGCGCAGGCGCGCGCCGAGCTGGAGGACATCGAGAAGGTGCTGTACCTGGAGACGGCGACGACGTGCATGGGCTGCGAGGAGCAGCCCCGCAGCGTGACGCTGGCGCCGTGCAACCACTTCGTGCTGTGCGAGGCGTGCGCCGCCACGGCCGCGGAGTGCCCCTACTGCCAGACGCCCGTGCAGCACCACCAGTAGCGCCCCCACACACACACCATCGGATTCTTACTTTTTGCAAGTAGATGTTAATGAACATTATGTTATCTGTTCAGAGTATTATAGGCCTAGGCTTCTAGGCTCATTTTGAATACCAGTAAATTCAAGTTGCATGCAAATACCATATGCCATCCTCATCGAAAAACATCTATTTATGGCTATTACTTAATACTAGAAATGCCATGAATGTTTGATATTCTTCCATTTTGGGGAAGTCCTGAATACTAAAACAATTACAAATGCATACTATTCTGTATCTACAAATACGTTGTGACATAGGGCGTAAACTGGCACGTGCACATATCTGTCTGGTAATATCCAGTCCCTGAGTCCACAGTGGAATATACGGTATTTAGCCAAATCACAATTTGAGGTATCTCTATAATAATTGACTTGTCTTGTTCACCAGCTTACCAAAGTTGCAGATATTATATTACGAAACAGTTTATAACAAACAGATTGAATATTTACAAGTGACATTATTATACTAGAGTTGTAACATAATATTATGGTATATGCTTTGATGTTAACAGTTTTGTTTACTGGCCTCTCGTCTAAGTGAACTGTTGCTTTTATATTCATAAAGATACAAACAAAATATATATTATAGGTATTTATGACGTTTTATCTTGAAAATTTAACTTTATGGTTATGCTTTCACCAATTATCTTAGATGTTAAGAAAATTTTGTATCAATTTGGATATTCTCATTGTGACTCAATTTATATAGTAAGTTATAATATTGTATATTGATATTGATGGAAGCACGGCCATGAACGTACTAGTGATCGTAAGAGTCGGAGAATACTATAACGTAGTATTTAGTTTTTTACAGATATCTACAAATCATTTTACATATTCAGATTAGGGTAATTGTAATATTATGACATGGCTATTAAGAGCGTAGCTTGTATTGGCTTCCTCTTGGTGTGATCACATAGCATGATTTTCCCTATTGTCTAGCTATCTAAGGACCAAAAGTTTTCTATAAAAATATTGAGATTGCGAGTAGACGAGTATAGTAGATGAGCGCGTCGATCCATAAGCGGAGCGCGCCGTGTCTTTTATCTGAAACAATTGCTTTACATGTTTTGCCTAGCTGTTCTGGCTATATTTAGCTGCCCATCTGGTAAGCCGAAGAATATATTTTTGTAGACAACATTAATTGCTCCTTTCGTACTATTAATATTATGAAGAAGCGCACTTTATAATATAAGTCATAATCGATTTCTATTTGCATTTTTGTTTTGTATTGTATTGAGGATGTAAATAGTGTTAACTTCGCGTTTCTTGTACTTGTTGTTCTTGCGACCTCGAGCGACAATGGGTGCGGCCGACGGTTGCTCTAAAATTAATGAAAGTAAAAAAAAACATTTAGATTGGCAACATTTAATTAAACAAATTAAGAGAGAACATGACATTAAGATAGCAGAAATATTTACTGCTTTCCTCAAATTTGTAGATATAAATTGTAAGACTAATTTTTGTAATATGTACAAAAGTTTCGCTTTTTGGTGTTGAACAGAGCGAAGAAGGCGATCTGACCAAGAGTTCATTAGCAGAACAGGCGCAAAATGCACATCACTGAGCTACGGTTCAATAGGTACAGGAATGCCCAGAGTACAACTGAGAGGCCTATTGCTGAACGTTGCCAGACTGAGTCACGGTTGCCCTGATTGAGCAAGCACATTAGGCTACCGGAATTTATTTTTGTACTAGATGAAAACAAATATCATCCCTAGAGCCCGCGTATTAGATTTATAACACGTAGCTTTATTTTTTTACGTTAACATTCCCGAATAATCTAGATGTTATATAACATGTTCATTTAATTCTATCCTTGGCATACTTAGGTTTTCACCAATAATTGATTTTTATGGGTTAGTTAAATGTTATATTCAAATAATTAAAATCAAAAAGTTTGTTGAATCATTTAGGAGCACATCTAACGCATTTAATTTTTATATATTTGTTGTCCTAAAAAATTTAAATGCTATTTTAGTAAAGCAATTTATTAGAACACCATGGAAACATATTATTTGTTTGCTATGTTCGAGAGAAACGGACTGGGGTAAATTATATTAATTATTGAAAGTTTCAACCATAATTGCTAAAACACGTTTCTCACTTATTAGCTGTACAGGAAAATGAAAGTTATTTTTTTTTAATGTTTCTCTTTACATAACTTGAAAATGATGTGCAAGCAAATATCATATTTAATTCAAACATATTGAACAAAAAAATTTACTTCGGGAATTATTTTTTATTTTTGACTAGAGAAATAAACTTTTTTTGCAGAATGTTCCGTACAATTGCATAAGTAGATGATGTAACACAACATTTTACAAAAGAACGTTCATAAGGTTTGAGCAAAAAGGACCTTTTGCGCACTGAACCTAAGTTTGGTTTAGCGTTGCGTGCCCCACACTGTGCACGAGAATGAAGCGGCTTCGTCTGTTATTAATCGTCACGCAGCACTCGTTACGCCGCATCGCCGTGAGCTTCAGTTGGTCTGCTCCTTCTTCCCCCGTTATTATAAAGAACTCGTCGAGGTCAACCAGGGGGTACGGCGCCGCCATGAGTAGCTGCAGCGCCCATAGTGCCGGGGTGTTCACGCTATTGTAGTCCAGCGAAACCACGGCCGTTTGAGGATCGTCTAGTGACCACTGGTCTGCACCCACATCAATAGCGCGTATACCAGAGTGACATATCTCGTCGAGGTATCTCGTAGACACGACACACACTTCCATATACTCCGCCTCTCTCCGCATGCGGTACTCGAAGGGGGTGGCAGCCTTGAGGGGTATACCCCACTCTACTCCTGTGGGGAAGCCGGTACTGTGGTGTCGGAGATGGTCATATAGCCGGGCCTTGATTAGCAGTGGCGTGATGTCCGCTTGTGCCAGGCTGCTTCCCTCAGTCAGTACCGACTGCAACAGTGGGCTATCTGCGAGGTACCGCCACACATGTCGCGAATAGGTACTATTTACTCGCCCGTCTCTAACGGTCGGATCGTCCGTGATGCGGCTCACCTCTGCTCCCGCGGTCGTTAAGCTCAGACTCCCCTTGTTCTGTGCGGTATCCTCCCCGATGCCAATCCATGTCACCTCTCGTCTCTCGGGGTCCTCGTCAATGGCCAGTGTCTCTAGCTCGGCGCCCAGCCCGCCCCCTTCAGGCAGGGGTACACACCCCTTCCCCCGATCGTGCATCGCCTGTAGCAGTTGACGCATCTCGCGATGCCGCGCCGTTCGGTCCTGGATGCCACACGCCCCCCTCCACTGACGCGATAGTCTATTCGCGGCCCGGGCTGCGGTCTCGCGTAGATTGCGAACCGCACCCCCACCCTCCCCGCGGCCCTGGAAGGCTTGTGCGCCCTGCCCGACGTCACCGGGCCCGGCGACGCCGTGGCCTTCGCCTCCCTCCCCACCGCCCGTTGCCTCCTTTCCTGCGTCGTTCCCTTCCTCTTGCTCAGCGTGCCCGGCGCCTCCATTCTCCCCCGCGCACTGTGTACTAGTACCCGCCCCCTGTCCTGGGCGAGGACTCACCGCCTCGTCGATCCTCGGCGAACTCGTCTCCAAGGAAACAACATCGGGGTCCGGTTCTACCAAGGAGTCAAGAAACCAGTAGACCTGGTGGCGCGTTGGGGGCACGCTCATCAGGCTCACTCCGGCCGATGTTGTCATCCCGTATGTCACCATTGGAATTTCCTCTTGAATAATGAGATTGCGAGACTCCTCCGGTTGCTGTACGACGTGTCCGTGTTTGACGGGTCCGAGGGACTTCGTAACACAGTTTCCCACGACATCAGGACGGGAGGTGCCGGCGTTAGTAGAGAAGAAGATGTTACCATTGAGGGCATGCATCTCGCGGTTGTGGTTCCGGGCCATAGCGGCGGCCGCTCCCTGTGACCCGTCCTCCAGCATGCGTTGGAGCACTTCTCCCGGCTGTACAACATCACCCGACGCCACCCCCTCCAGGTCCCTGATGGACACCCCGAGCAACTCGGAAGCGAGACAGAACGGACATACGCGCCTCGGGGCAAGGAGGGAAGCACTAAGCTTGTTTAAAACAAGGGCCTCCCCACCCCTCCGCACCACGTCCACCCCGCACCCGCCACCGGCCGCATCAAGTGCCAGAGTAGTCATTACCTCCATGCTCGACCTGTTTTCCAGTCGCCGGAGCTCCACCGGCGGGTCATTCTTCTCGGGTTCGGTCTCCCCGGTTTGAAGGCTCGTTCTCCCTGCCCATATCTCCATATTCGCTAGCAGGTTGCGACATTCGGGGCCACTACCCCCCGATCGTCTTAGGCTGTCTAGGGTTGCGTGGCCCAGCAGTCGCGCGCACACTGCGCTGCAGAACGCGGGATTACGGTCTCCGCCCGCAATGAATCCACGGATCCGGGTGAACTGCTCTTTTGTTCCGGCCATACGCCTAGCTAATGCAGCTGCAGCGGCAGACAGCTTCTTCCTCCTTGGGGAGAAAGGACCCCCCTCCGTCTTTTTGTCCCTCCGGTTAATCTCATCGCCAGTCTTTAGGAAGGTGCGACTCTTGCCCCCCTCTTCCTTGGTCAAGTCCTGTGTTTTTTCCTCCCTGGTGGCCTCTGCATAGTCGCCGTCGCAGTTGATGCCACCGGGCAATGTCGTCAATTCGTTATAGTCTCGACCGGAGCAAATGCCCTTGAGTGTCCCTATCAGTAATTCTCTCTGTGAAATGTTCAGGCGGCTGTGCTCCTCGACCAGCCTTGAGACCACGGCCTCTCCCGCGGCTCTAACATCTCCGTTCCAGAACGGCGGGGGCTCATCGCCCTGCGCCGGTGCGATTGAAGGCCCTTCTCCCATCCTCTGTTCCCCTGTGGGCTTGGGCGGGACCACACGAGGCAGGGAGGAGAATAACAGTTGCTCAACCGTGACGGCTTCCTTTCCCGGTCCTACATGAGGCAGCCGTCCCTCTGCTCCCTCCCTCGCCTCCTCCCGGCTCTGTCTCCGGTCGCTATCAGACCTGGTGTTGGGCTCATGATCTGATTCACTGCTTGAGCTCAGCAGACCCACTTTCTCTAGTGCTAGGGCCATCTCTGGGATTGTCTCCCTTATCTCCGCCTTATAGTCCGCGATGACTGCTTTCCTGACCTGGGCACTCTCAGTCTTCGTCAGTTTCTTGCGCTGCTGCCTCTCACGTCTTGCCTCGCGAATGCGGGCGTTGTAGTCTACAACCCGACTTTCGGGTCCCCTCCTCGTGGTAGATGCTGGGCTCGTTCCTGACCTTGCATCGTCAAATACCTCTGGTTCTGGGATCTCGGGGGCCTGAACTCCCCTACTCTGGTCCAGGGCCATCAGGCGTTTTTGAGCCCTCGTTGTCACCCTCCCCCTTCTGTCCCCCTCCGGCTCCCTTCTTCGTCTCTTCTCGGGCGTCTCCTCCTTGTCAACTGGCCCTTCCTGCATCCTCGGATGCGCGTGGGTTTCCGGCCCACAACCCGGTTACGGGTTTTGGAGGTAACCCCCTGCTAGTTACACAGTCGAGTGACCTTTCGCTAGGTGGGGTTGTCTGTAACAACAGAATTGAAAAAAACAACACTTCTTCAATCAACTTGTCTTGTTTGTCGCGATGTAAGGAGAACACAGCGAAAAAAACTCTGACAACTCTGAAGAAATAAGTCTCTTCTCTTCGGATTGGTTGTTCAAGATTGACATGAATGTTGAACTTTTTGGTTGTTCAAGATTGACATGAATGTTGAACTTTTTAATCACACGAGTTGCTGGCTCTGAAGATTTCACTTGTCGATATTTCGCTATTATATATAACTGTTTCATTTTATTTAATGTTTTGAGTCTCACATCATGCATACATTTTATTTGTACACTCATTCTACATATTTTGCTACACATCTGAAATCTTTCAACGAAAGTATGAGAATGACTTACAGAAGGCACAAAAATAAATATAAGGCGTCAAGTTGAGAAATCGTGTCGCCATCATCGTGAGGTGCTTGCGTAAAATAATTAAATCTATAATCTCCAGTCCGAGTTCTAAATATTTATAACACTAATGTTTTGTGTATGGATAATTATAATTATTGTAATAGTAATATAACAAATTAAACTTAGATTATATAACTTAACATTAAGTAGTGTTTTCAAATTGTAATGGACATTGGTTTAAGTGTGTAGAAGCGTTTTGTATCGTGAAACAGAAGCAATATGACCACAGCCGCCTTTATATTATTCAGATATATACGATGTTGAATGGCGCCGGGCACAGCGGTAACGTTTCCGTTTTACAAGCATGTAAGCATATGTAACTACTTACCAATAGTGGTCCATTAGATCCGTTTTATTCCATAATAGCCAAACGCAGCCGCTGTGTTTTGGATGTCTTTTTATAAGTATGTCGACACGGTACATTTTGTATACTGGAATAATAAAATAAGATGTTCGGAATGTGTGACCCGACCCTAGCCGACAATCCATATTATCATCGCTGGCAAGTTTTTGTATGTAAAAGTCTATAAACAATTCGATCTAAATAAGTTTTATAATATTGTCCATAGTAGTTGTCGCACCGTTGTGGTTTTGGCGATAGATAGATACTATAATGTGTGTACTGTACGCGTTGTTATTTACGGTTATTTATTTAATTTATGAAGAGTAAGTAGTCATTTTAATGACCAGCACTTTTGCAAATACAAACAAACTATGGCTTGACTCAATTATTTTCAGTCAAGTAACACTTTGCTGAAAATGGACAATAATCACTTATAATTCAGAACTTAAAACATGGGAATTCTACTAATTTAAAGAAGAAAATACTATCACTAGACTGGCTGCTAAGCAGTTGTGTAGAATATTGAAGTCTGGAAATGAAATTTAGAGGGAAAGGCAATTCGTAATGATCTCGCGTAACTTGTATTAAATCTCAAGTGACCGAATTTAGTATCCGCATGCACTAAAGCAAAGATGGAAATAGGAGATATTTTTGTTGTTTTTAATAAACCGCTAATATATCATTAATATCGATACAGTTTCGGCGTAATTGCATCTCGTTTTGGAAATTACTGGTTTGGCAAAGTCTGAACTGAATTTATGAACAAAACAATTTCTTATTTCTAGATTTTTTGCCAGTACAGTCAGCTGCTTCCAGCGAGATTATGAACCTGTTATTGTCCAGAGCATACCCAAGTGTTGATTCTGTATAACTTCTTTAATGTGGTAACACTAACTACATGGCCAGTCGACACTGACCGTACATCTTACTGTTTATCGTAAAAACCCGCTTGAGACACACGACACATATTTTATTAAACTATAAAATACACTTGGTTTTTCCCGAGTAATGTGATACGCTCCTTGCGCTTCAGTTAATAGATCTTTTGTACTAAATATAGCATGCTTGTTTGATGTAGGTTTATGACCTCTACCCATATACTATATACACCCCACTTCCAAAATGGTATCATTTTGGAATTGAATATTCATAGAATGTAAGGGATTTTAAAATGTCGTGATCTAATTGTGTCTGAAACGTAGAGTACTAGCGTAAAACAAAATGTTCTGTGTGGCCATAGCATGTTAATATAGTCTAGCTTGCTAATAATTTGAGATTTAGATGTGTGTATTAGAGACGATATTTATTTTTATATAGAATCTTTATCACATGGAGAGTAATTTTGTTGATGAAATTTTGTATTTCCTATATGGTATGGTGTCGATCCTATGTATCTTGGATGTTTAGTTGACCGAATTACGCAAATTAAATTTAGAACTTTTAATATGATTGTCGTTTGTGTTGTCACAAGAGTCTTGTACCCATCATAATGTCTCGCCATGAGCAAGGTGTGGTTGTTGTTTATATATGTTTTTAATAATTATTTTACTAAAATTTGCATTTTGTTTTTAATTTAAGGACCAATGCAGTTTCAGTAAGAGCTTTGAAGGTCTTATACTTGCATAATAAATAACAGCATCCGATTATTTACTTATATATTTATTATACATATTTTTATTTTTATTTTAGGTAGGTAGGCCCAACAAATTCTTTCAAATTTTTATTGTTAAATTAGAAATAGTATGTTGTAGTAGATAACCAATTGAGACATGCGTTCACACTCAATACTGGAGATCAAATTGTTTATTTTTTATTTATTAAAAATATGCATTATAGCTTCTTATATCATCATAGTAGATATTTTTAAGAAAATAATTTTCAAATCCATGTGATACAAATTAATGTGTAACAGAGATGTGAAGATTATGAATATTACTAGATAGGTAGGTTTAATAAATTTTTAATTCCATTCAATACAATACGCGTTTTATTTTATATCCTATGATTATACCAATTGTTTGTTTTATGAGTTCTACCTCAAAAAGTGGAAACGAGCAGACACATGCGGCAACAAAGGTTGCCGGCCTATTGGGGGAGGGAGGATTGGGCCTTCGGTCAACTTCACTCACACAATACTGTCTGTAATTCAAATAGTGACATAGTGGCCTTCCTAAGTACAGTCGTCTGGGTCAGAATGACTGGGCCAAGAGAGATTTTGATGTTTGAGCAATACCAAGTTATAGTACCAACTTGGTGTCGCATATCTTTATATATCTCCATAGCGAGGGTAGGTACCTCGTATAATTAGTATATTCATATGCCATTCTTCTTTACCTCTATAGCGAGGTACCCTCGTTAGTACTACTAGCTCCTAGATAGTAAACCGATTATAATAATTATTTTGTTTTGAAAGATGACACGTTCATAATAATAAAATATAAAAACAAAGTTAAAAAATGCTTGCATATACGGTTTTTCATTTCAACCCTAACGTGTGATATATTGTTGGATAGGTACCTACCTACTTATTTTTGATTATGTCAATCATACTTATTTTTGATTATGTTAAACATAATCATTTTTGAGTCAGCCAACTCCACTATGCAATTCGGCAGATTAAAATATTTTCATTGTCATATATATATAGGTATACATGGAGAATATTAATTAATATCTGTCATGCTCGTGCTCTAGAATAAAAGTTAAACCTAACAAATTTTGGTAGGTAAACTATCATTCCCTAGGCGGAATGACATGTCATTAAGTCATATTTTTTCGCAACGTTTCGCGAGTTCGATTCCCTGTGCATGTGAAATTGTAGGTATGTTTGTAAACGCACCCACAACACAGGAGAAAATCCTGGTGTGGGGCAACGTAAAAATATTTTCTTTCTATCACCAAATCTTTAGAATCCAGTTAGGTACTCCCTACGGCGCGGCGCTTGAGTAACTACAAATTTAGCATCCGAGGCGATGGCGTCTGCATGATAACACAGATTTTAAGGAAATATGTGATATTAGAGATATATATATACATATCTATGGATATATATATGGATTGCAATCCGGCCCGACGGATCCGGCGTGTTTTTGGATCTACCGGATCCGGCGAGTCGGTGTCGGATCCGCGAAGAAAACATACGGTGTCATGAAGAAAACCGTATGTTTTCTTCATAGTGTTACGTGCCTCGTCACGTTCCTGACTATGCGGGCTTGGGTTACGGGATTGGATGAAATGAAACACTAATACCGGTTTTCAGACTTTCTATTGCACTTAAGTTACAGCGTCCACGGAGTTAAGTTATCGGCGTTCCTCTCCAGCAGAGTCCGGCCGACTGACACAACTTTGCCGTTCACGCTGACTTAACTCACTTAACTGACTGCACTTCACTATTTCACTGCACTTCACTATTTCACTCACTTTTCTTCTTTTTCACTTCTTCCTTTTCTTCCGAATCGCTTTAGACTTAGAACTCAACTGCCAGCGGTGAGCCGCAGTTCCGCTTATATACCCCCGGTCAAGTTCTGGAACATTCAATTTCGTTATTCTTTTTGATCGTCATGCCTCCAGAACCTTCCAATAATTTCGTTATTCATTTTTATTTATTCTCCTTCTCGCTCTTTAATTTTTCATTTCTTTTACACAATAATTCCAGAAAGTTCGACAAAACTTCCATCAACTAAAAAACTTCATGTTTACGGCGGGACTCGAACTCGGGGTCTCTGTGGTGTAATCCACACGCCTTACCAATTACACCATCTCGTATTGACAATTCACGACGAAATTTACAATCTCTAGGCAACGTTTGACAACCATCCATTGACGTCATGATGTCAAAGAGTTTGAACCACTTTTCCGTCACACTGCCCCCCTCTTAGATTCGCTCGTCCCGAGCATCGTTGCTGCCGTAATACCTCGCCAACCTGTCTATATGGACAACTTTCAAAGGGCTCCTTGAAGTCTTCCGAATTCTGTAAGTAATGTCATTGATCTTCGTGACTATCTCATAAGGACCTTCCCAACTCGGTTGCAGCTTCGGAGATTTTCCCTTCCTTCTGACTGGATTATGAAGCCAGACCAATGACCCCTCTTCAAACCCAACAGAATTGGCTCGTCGATC